AAGGTTTATAAGTTATAAAGGGTTGAATAACTCATCGTGTTAATAAATATTCCGTTCCGTCTGTTGCTTTCGAATCCGGTACTTGGCCGGAATGTAATCTCAGTTTGAGACATCAGTGTTAAAGAATGGATTTTTTTGTCATTCCTGTTTTGCTCGAGTTTCAAGAAGAAATTACGAGGAAACTTTCTTCAGTTAGGTAACTGTGAAATTGAAAAAAATCTGATGTGTACACCACATGACCTCTTTGTACGGAATACTAAATTATACGCAATTTTCCTGCATGTTATTTAAACACATTATTATTGAATTAACAGTTAACGAATTTTGAATTAAATCTACTTCGTCGATAGGGCATAAACCACAATAGAATAAATGAATTCTTTAAAGTTCACTATATTTATTTGCCAAAGCGACACTTCGGCGCTAGTTTCACTTAACAGCGTTACATCTCATTCATTTTATAACTCAGAACGCATAAAAATTATATCATCCGAAGAATTGCCACAAGTTCTATTCAAATATTATAATAAATCTAAAACGATTTACAAAAGAAATTAAACAAATAAAAAAGAAACAGTTTTTTGCAGACGATTCACTTCGCGTAAGGCAAAAATACATAAAAATTCAATATATATTTTGATTAAATTTGAAAGTGTTAGAAAAACACAAAATACCAAATACAGTTAAAACAAGTTTTACGATTAAAATTACAGTTTCTTCGCCAAAACAAGCTAATAACTTAAATGTTAACTCCACAATGAATTAAGCATAATTTAATTCGCAATAATAAAAGAAGATGTACTTTGTTGTCGCGAAGGTTAGTTTCTCTAGATTGGCCACAATTCCACTATTCTGCTAAGTTTCAAATGTAAATAAACACGGCTGCCATGGTTATCATAAATTAGTCTTAGGGGCACTTAAAAAACTTTTAAATTATTGATAATTCCACAATTATTGCATGCAGGTTAACTAACGACATAAAAATCTTAACCAGAACAACATAATTCCATCATTTTTAAAGCAAAAAAATGCACACTTTACAAATATATAAGGGAAAAAAAAACTGAGCTCACTGAGCCGAGTAACAGAGCATATGTACTTTTAGTGCGGCCGATTGCAACCAAAATGGGAGGTGCACATCTATATGTTATAGCAGTCCTGTGTACAAAATTTCATCGTTCTGATGCTACTTGTTTCTGAGTTATGCGAGATACGTACGTATGCATAGATGCCAAGTAAAAATTCCATTCAAAAATAATTTAAATCAGTTTTATAATTTTTTTTCTTGTGGAAAAGAGTCCTTTATCCTATTCTGTTCTTACGTACAGATGTCACGAAAAAACATCGTTAAATTGCATTCGATATCGGTCAAAATGGATATTTTCGTTGAAATGTGATACCCGAAATTTTTCGCGATTACAATATTTCCTTTTTACTTCGTACAAGGGAATAAAAATGAAGTGGATAATTTTAATAAAATGTTTCAAACGCTCTGTAATTTCCTGTCTCTTCTCGATCATTTTTTTTTTTTTTGACATGGATAGCTACTTTCTCTAAACTAAAGCAAACTCTCAAATATTCTCCGATTTTTTATCATTTACATAAAATTTGATTACAATATTCCACTATTGTTATAAACGTGGATTCAAAATTTAAACTTCAAATATTATTTTCCAAACTGAAACTGGCGATTGCGTTCACTCAAATTTTACGGGCTAACCACTTTTATATTAAAATTGACTAAAAGTATTCAATTAAGTGAAATAGCAGCCAGTTTGATCTCATTTAATCAAACTAATTACTAATCAAATTACGCTGGGTTTAATTTATCTTTCTAACAATTTTAATTTAAGTTTTCCTTCTTCTTTTTTAAATTCCTACTATTAGCTCACACTCTCTTTATATCTTGTTCAAATTTTCAATCGTTAGTAAAATACTTTTACTCATCCACTCAAGTTCAAATACATTTTTTTAAAATTTGTAGTGAATGACACTTGATGTTAATGTAGATTTTTCGCATATTAAAGTCAATTCCTACTTATTTATTCCTGTTTATCGGAACTAAAGATATGCTGTTTTTTTTACTTCTTTGTACGAAGTAAAGAGGAAGTATTGTAATCGCGAAAAGTTTCAGGCAGCATATTTCAACGAAAATATCCATTTGCACCGCTATCGAATGCAATTTAACGATGTTTTTGCGTGATATCTGTACGTAAGGACAGAATAAAATACTCTTTTCCTTCAAAAAAATTATAAAACTGCTTTAAAATTAATTCTGAAGAGAATTTTTCGTGGCGTCTGTACGAACGTATGTACGTACGTACGTTCGTGCGTGCATACGTATCTCGCATAACTCAAAAACGCGTAGCCTCAGAACGTTGAAATTTTGCATATAGGACTGCTATAACATGTAGATGTGCACCTCGTATTTTGGTTGCAATCGGCCGCACCAAACGTATATAAATATATTTATATATATATCCACTCTATTGCCCGACTCAGTGATCTCAGTTTCTTTACTCTTATATGTTTGTAAATTGTACATTTTTTGCTTTAAAAATGATTGAATTATGTTGTTTATCTTCCGGTTAAGGATTTTATGCCTTTAGTAAATCTGTGTGCAATATTTTTAGAATTATTAGCAATTTTAAAGTTGTTTAATTGCCGCTAAGCCTGTTTATAATGGCGGCCATTGATGTTTACATTTGAAACAGGAGACTAATGGATTTGTTGCCAATCTAGAGAAACTTAGCTTCGCCACAACAAAGATAACGCATTCATTTATTATTGCCAATTAAATCATGCTTAATTCTTTCGGGAATTTTTTCGAGGAAATAAGCGTTTGAAATTTACTTCGTAATTTTTAATACAGATATTTTGAGTTTTTATGCATTTTTGCCTTCTCGCGAAGTGCGAACTGAATTAATTGAATGAGAAATACTCAATCGTCTGTGAAAAACTGTTTCTTTTTTGTTTTATTTACTTAATTTCTTTTATACATAGTTCGAGCTTTATTATAGTATTTGAATAGAACATGTGGCAACGATTAGATAATTCTTTACATGATATACATTTTGTCATTCTGAGTTATAATATGAATAAAATGTAACACTATTAAGTAAACCTAGCGCCAGAGTGTCGCTCTGGTAAACAAAGTGAATTTTAAAGAATGCATTTATTCTATTGTGGTTTATGCGCTGTCGACGAAGTAGGTTTAATTCAATCTAATAAGTTTAAATAAAATGCAAGAAAAAATGCATATAATTTAATTTTCCGTACAAGGAAGTCATGTGGTGTACACATCAGATTTTTTTTTTAAATATTTTATAAGACTAAAAAATAATGACTATTTATTAGGAATTCTCATGTGCTGTAAAAGTTAATTTTACAGGGTTTTTATAAAGTCCCGGGCCCATTTTGATGTTTAACAACTCATAAAAATAATTAAGATATAAACAAACTTATGGCATTTATTGATGGAATAACTTATATATTTTCCTTTTCAGGTTTGAATATCTTTATTTTTGTAAATATCGTCTGCGCGTGTGGTTAATTTCAGGTAATTTCATTTTCCAGTCTAAATATGTGTACTTTTCTAAATATCGTCTGCTTATTAATGGCATTTTTCTCTCTTTTGTTTTTCGCATCTTTTTGGCATTGTTAATCGCCATGTGTGCATATGGGGATCTGAAAACCCCCATGAATACCGTGAGGCACAAAAGGATCCCCTAAAAGTTAATGTGTGGTGTGGACTAATGCACGACCGAGTCATTGGACCTTTCTTTTTTACAGAAAAGAAGGTCTCATCAGTCGTATACTTAGACACGTTGGAAAACTTCGTATTTCCACAACTAGAAGAGCTTCAGCCACATGTCTTTTGCAACAAGGTGGTGCACCACCTCATTGGGGTACCATCGTTCGTAGTTCTTTGAATGACCATTTTACAGGAAGATGGATTGGGCGAGGAGGTCCAATTCCTTGGCCACCCAGATCACCTGATATAACGCCGCTGGACTTTTTCCTTTGGGGATTTGTAAAAGACAACGTTTACAGGAGGAGAGTGTCGAACATGGATGACCTAAAAGCCAGAATTACAACAGCAATAGCCTCTGTAGATGCCGACATGCTTGCCGGTACCTGGCGTGAAATTGAATTTCGACTTGATATTCTTCGTGCGACGAAGGGGGCACACGTGGAAGTTCATTGACAAGGGTCATGAAACTTTTTGAGTCTATCTAACCATTTATGCTATTAATTTTAATCTATCTTTAATATTTTACGAGTTATTAAACATCAAAATGAGTCCGGGACTTTATAAACACCCTGTATAACGACTTATAAATAACAGTAGATGTCTGGAATAAATGGCATAGTAATATTTAGCAAATCTAAGTGGCAACAGTAAGACTGAGTTCTAAAGTTTTTTAAAGTGTGTGAAATTAAAGAATTGTAGTTTTATAGAGTTGGATGCAGCGGATGTAATGTCCCATTATGTAGCGAAAATTCTCCCCATATTTCTATGTTAACTTCATAATAATATATGTTTAAAATATAACCCTTTAAAATGTCCCTTGCTTATTAAGATAAACAAATGGCACTGTAAATTATGCAGTAATATATCTAGGACGAAAACTCTTCGAAGCAGCTCAAGCATATGCCGCCTTGAGTCGTATGAAATCATTAGATGGAATATTAATTGAAGAACTGGACTGCTCGAAACTCACTGGAAAGGTTCCTTGCAATAATGAAGCATTACAAGTGATAGACAGAATGAGAAATTATGGAACACCATAAGCTTCGTATATTAGAAACGATAAAATGTTAATCATGTTAATAAACAGTAACTAAAATAAAATTTTTCTTTGTTGACCTAAGCAGTAGTTGACTTTAATTTTTTTTTATATTACGTGTTTCTCTTATACACTGCTTATGTCTTATAGTTTTAGAAATCAGTTTTGAAATAACTGTTTAACTTAATGCCGGTATGAAATTTGTCTTACCTTTTGTCAGCATTACGGATGTAACTGCTGAAATATCTGAGGTAAAAATAATCATCAATAAATAAATTATCATCTTTAGAAATTCTAGCATCTACTAATCCATTCAAGTACTTCAGCCAGTCAACCTATCGAAAGGTAAAAGAGAAATGTTCCCTATATTTATTTGCGCACAAAATATTTTCCAAAAAATCTTTCAATAAAACAAAAGAAATATAGTTTAATATTAGAATGTTTATTAGTCCAAACGGGCTTTGTCCCTGAAGGACTATAGTTTTCGCTTTGCGATTTCGCGTCGAATCACTATAATGTCCGCTTGACTTTTCAAACTGTTGCCACCCAATGTTAGAGTCCAGCATTATATTTGAAGAATATAAATAATGAAAAATGTGGCATAAATGCATATATATTTCTCGCAATGTGATAAAACAATGGTACACAGAGCCATCCAATTTTGAATGACGGAGGATTAGGAGGATTACTCCTACGAATCTGGGCATGTGGAAGAACAAATTTGAAATTTGGAATTTGTTTTATTATCGATTTCATATTTTGTAAAACTTTAACGAATTTTTGATTAACAAACTCAAGGATTTCATAGCCATCAATGGCAAAACTGTACGAAAAAAAAAATTGTCTCCAGCGCCCGGAAATTCTAAAGATAGGCACAGGCTCATTTTAAAATTATTTTGCGACATTGCTATTGAACTGAATTTTATGGTTTAAGTACAAAGAACATGAATAAATAAAGGTAACACACAAAACATGTAAAAAACGCCTCTTTGTATGCAATTTAAAATCTGAAAACGCAATTTAAAATCTGAAAAATCTTTCAGATTTTTTTTATATATTTAATTGTTGATATGTTGCGAATATGTTGATTTCTCGACAAAGAAAACGTGAAAAGCTAACTGTGTGCTGTTTGTGATGTGAATAAAGGACGCATCCTTTCCTAGCTGGACATAAACTTGCAATACATGACCATGAATAGCGTAATGCGATAATAAGTCCTTACGTTCGTCTCCACTTTAAAGCGCGAGTGGTGAGAGCCCGAGACTCAGTCAACTAAATAAAAGTGGCGAAGATATATCGTTCCCCGTACTTTTAGATACTTACGTTTAAAAAAACCCCGTAAAGAGGCTGTGGCAAACATCAGACTGCAAACAGGCCTCGATTGCATGGTACATCATCTTAATTGGTGTCCTTCCATCATGTCCATAAATTAAGGATAATGCAAAATCAGGCAAAGGAAGAGTTAGAAGCAAAACAAATTTGGCTTATTTGCAAAGCTTATTTATTAAACAAAAGGTAAAGATCAAAAAAAGATGCTATATGTTTGATATTATTAAAAAAATTAGCGATTTTTTCTCCCTGGAGCAAATTACAAAAAAAAACCTATTTACAAAAAACCAATATTACATGGTTGGTATGATTATTAATACATTGTATGTCTCCCAGACGATGCAATAAAGTCCGTACAACGTCTAGGCATGCTGAGTATCAAATTATCGATCTGATCTTGGGGGATATTACACCACTCAAAAAGCAATGCTCTCCGAAGTTCCGGTAGGAATGTAGGAGGAGGTTGACGGGCTGCAACTCGTCGGCCAAGCATATCCAACACTGGATTCAAGTCCGGTGAGAATGCTGGCCAGTCCATACGGCTGATATCCTCGGATTGAAGGCATTCGCTTACGATGTTTGCTCGGTGAGGACGGGCGTTGTCATCTATAAACACAAATTGTGCGCCCATGGCGCCCCGAAACAAGCTTGCATGTTGTTCCAGAATGACGTCCCGATAGATTTGGCTTGTGATGGTTCCAATTTGAACATGCAGGTCAGTTCTGGAACCCAGAATAATTCCACCTCAAACGAGCACTCCTGCGCTACCGTAACGGTGTCGTTCAATGATGTTTTCTTGGTGATAACGGGTACCTGGAGCTCTCCATATGAAAGTCCGGCGGGAATCAGACTGCAAGCTAAACCTGGACTCGTCGGAAAACTTCACACAAGCCCATTGTTACGGTGTCCACAATGCATGCTCTCTACTCCAGGCTAACCGCAGGCGACAGTGAGTTGCAGTAACTGGAACGCATCTGACAGGTCTACGAGCATATAGACCAATCTGCCCTAAGCGTCTGTATACGGTCTGCCTTGAAATTGTCGTACCAGTGGCTGAAGAGAGCTGACGAGACAGGTCTGAGGCTGTGCTCCGCCTGTTTCTTTTGGCAGTAACTGCCAAATACCGGTCCTCATTCGGCGTTGTAACTCTGGGGCGACCTGTGCTGTAACGTCTCCTCACATTGCCATCATCTTGGAATCGTTGTCAAAGCCTGGAGATGACACTCTGGCCAATTCCAAGTTCGTCTGGTACTGCCAGTTGGAAAGCCCACATTCCAAATGGCACACATTTCAAACGGCCGATAATTTTACCACGTAAAAAATCATCCAAATGCGTTCATTGTGTCATAACTATTCGGTTAATGCACTGAAATGCTTATAAAGCGCCTGTGAACAATTTTACTTCTTTGCCTGTATTCCTTATATATCACTCTCTTACACTCTCGTCATTGTGACGTACCATCGGTGTCATCTGGTTACTTCCTGAAATTTGCATATGATTCTTGGAGATGTGTGTAGTGATTTTACATGTGATATATTTATTTTAGAGTTCGATTTCCGCGTGAATTCGAATTATCCTTAGTTTATGGACATGAGTGTAGTATATGCCAGAATGCAGAGCATCTTCTCATATGCCCAGAACTTGATAAACAGTCTCAGAAACGTGGTGAGATAAGTAAACTACAGTGGAACCTCGAGATACGAGTTTAATTCGTTCCAGCATTGATCTCGTTTAGCGAATTATCACATCGTATCTACAAGCAAACCTCCCCATTGAAAATAATGGAAATCCAGCTAATCTGTTCCGCATCCTAAAAATATCATGGTAAAGATCAATTTTTCTAATAAGTAACACTGGTAAATAATATAACCCTAGTTTACCTCTATTAAATAAAACCAGTAAGAAATAATAATGAGAGAGGAAGGAGATAGCTTCCGACACCGAACTTCCTTAGAAGCTTTTCCTTATACTCAAAATCCAGTAATAGTGGATGTTCTCAAGTTACATATAAACTTAATGAATCGTGGATATGAAATCCTGTACTGCTGGATTCCCGGGCATGTGGGAATAAAAGGGAATGAGCTGGCAGATATCACAGCGAAAAGTGCTGAACTGTCCAGGCGCCTCATCCCTTTTGGAGACATCTGTTGTGTTGTGAAACAGAAGATCCGAAAAACATGGCAGCAACTTTGGGATGTTCAGCCTCAAAACAAGTTAAGACATGTAAAGCCTAGAATTGAACATTGAGATTTTGCTGGAAATCGTAAAGAAGTAGTTCTTTTGACTCGCCTCAGAATTAATCACACAAGAGTGACACATAGCTACCTTTTAAAAGCTGAGAACGAGCCTGTTTGTTCAAATTTTAATGTTTCATATTTTAATTGAGTGTCCCTGTTTTAATAGTCTTCGTCAGAAATATTTTAATAGCTGTGACTTACCTCTCGACCGTTTAATCGGAAGAGAGGCTAATTGTAATTTATTTTATTATTTAAAAGAGACTGGATTTTACTACCTAATGTAATATGTTTTGAAGATTGTGTCTTGGATTTTATTGTGAGCTTTTACCTTGTTTTTATATGACTTCATCCTCTGGATGTGGTACACTTGTCCACTTGTTTATTTATTGTATTTTAATTTCGTCATGTGTAATCATCCCATCCTGTGTTTGGCCCGTCATAACCATTTTTGTTTTTGCGCCAAAAACCTCACCCACTCACTCACTCACTCACTCCGACACCGAACTTAACTGCTTCTCGTTAATTCACACCAACAACAGTTCTAGGAGTTTTGGACGGTGCTGGAAGTAACGGTAACTCCTTTGCCTGCAACAAGTTTCTTAATTTCTTCGTTGTTCTTCAGAATAGTGCAGATCGTCGATGTCGAAAGGCCGTAAGTCTCTGCCAATTCCCTCATTCTTACACCCCGCTTGTTTATCTATGATTTCGTTCTTAATTTCAACGGCCATGGCTTCCTTATTTTTCTTTGCAACAATCTTGTTGGGAGGCATCGTGAAATAATTATGTCCACATTAAATGTAATAAACAGTTGACTCACAAGCGCGCAAACACGTAGTTCAAAGAAAACCGAATGAGCTGAGGAGAGATTCTCCGAGTCGAACTCGATCGGAAAATGGCGCCAGGCATACCAACAGCCTGCTCATTGCTCGTTACTCGAGTCAATGCTTGTATTTAGAGACAAATGTATCGCTCACACTTTCCCCTGTATCTCCAATTTCTAGTACATAGAGGTGCTCGTATCTCGAGGTTCCACTGTATACTGGAGTGCCAGAGCTTCCATGAACTTCTTGTAAAGACTACACCTCTTACGTTCCTTTCGTTGTTGTATAAATTTTTAACTTTTTACTTCTGTTTCCATGTTCATTTTGTAAGGATCCTAAGTTTTACTAACGTTTATTTTATTTTAAATCTTTACTATCACTTCTTATTTTCTACTTCCGGCCAGAATTAAAAGCTTTAACTTATTTATGCAAATTTGTCTTGCTAACGCCAAGTACTTAAGTTGTGGCTTTTTGCCAAGCAAGAGAGAGGAAGGAGTTATTAGAAGCAGGTCGCTTGCCATAGTAGTTTTACTCGGTTGCTGGTTGCCTTCAAGGCCAGAGGTTTAGTCCGCTTGATAATTTTAAACGTATCGTAGTTTTAGCAGCTCTCTGTACTACATACGGATTTTTGTTAAATAACGGCCAATCTTAAAGTTAGGCACTTGTACAGTAAGAACCCGCTTAACGCTGTTTCGTTTAGCGCTGTTTCGGTTTAGCGCTCTTTTATTTCAACCCGGGGATTCCACGAAATCGCTCGCAGCATACGGGGATTCCCCGAAATATTATGCAACGATAGGTTTCAAATACATATCCGAAAGAGCGTACTTTTATTTCTTGTTTGGTGCGGTATTGTAGAGACATATTTTGAAGGGGTAAATGTGGAAGATGTCGAAGAAATAATTCAAGAAGCAGCGGCTAGTCTTTCTAATGATGAACTCAAGGAATTA